CGCTAGATGCAAGACGCTGAAGCTGCCATTGAACTCTGCTGAATCAATCAGTCTCTGGACCCAACAGAGCCTCTCTCAAAGCCAAACCCGGACTCCTCAAGGTAGATCTCAGAAGATAACAATTCCACATTTATCAGCTACGTGGCTAACTGAACTGTAATCCCTACAGTCTCCTGTGAACCTGTCCTCCAGATGTGAACCAGTACCAGACTCATTTCCATGAGCTTTATCAATAAACTCATTTAAACCTTTTCTCTGTTTCCCGTGGTGTTCTGCATATTGGGCCTCTCAGAACCAATCATGACAAAGTTGAGGACCATCCCTTGACTTTTGATGCATAAATCCAATCAACGAGTCCAACAACTTCCAGAAATTTAGTCATGAGGTTTCCTTCATGTGTGGATGCATTTTGAACATGGACACAGATCTTTTGATAATATATTTATAATATTTTTAAAACAGCTCCATGCTTCCGTATACGTCTTATGTCTTCAGTACTGTTTGACAAAAGCAAATGGTCCCTTTTGGCCCCCTCTAGAGCCCACCATGGAGGTATGTCCCTACTTACTTAGACTTAACCACTTTTATTGTCATTTTGTATACTCATAGTGCATACAAAACAAAATTTCGCTTTGTACAGATTTCAGAAAGTAAGTGAGCAGCAGCTTTGCAGTTAAATGAAAATTTCCATTTCATAAAGTGCAGCAATGATCAAATGTAAACAACATGGAGAGAAAAAAAAACTTGGTGCAAGTTCAGAGCAGTGCAAAGAGAAATGGTTATGGTGCAAAACTGCAGTAGAGAAAACATTTTTTGAGTTGAGTTCTTTTTGGTTTGGATGGGAAGTGAAACATCTTCAATCTCTGAAACAGAGTCCAGTGGATCGTTTTTTAACTTTTTTGGAATGACTATGACCTGGATGACTGAGAATCCTCCCCAGCATATGGGAGGTTTAACCATAAGGGACTACCTGCTTGCCACATGGGGTAATTCTATTTTTCCCATTCTTGTCATAAAATAAGCCCATGTTTAGTCAGAATGGAGGGGATCAGCAGTTTTCCTAAATTATCAAGCTCCCACTTAACTCTAAGCCTGAACTGATACTGGCCCATGCTAACTCATTAATGACACAAACTGCCATCCTGCAGCTCCAACTGATAAGATTTTCTGTTTTTCCTTTGCATCCACACATCGTGATGTGGCCACAAACAAGTTTAACAGTGTTTTTTTTTTTTTTTTTTTTTTTTTACCAACCACTGTGTTTTGCAGGTATGTTCAAACAGGGGTGATGCTAACTGGGGGGCCTTAGCCAATCACCGGAAGCCCCTACCGGGTGAACCCATCTGTATGTACTTTATGGACAGCACAGCTCTGAACCACAGGATGGTGGTAGGAGTGATAATCACAAGTGGACTATTCTAAGTAATTTAAAATTTTAACTGTTCCTATATTAACATCAATATACTAACATTAAAGATAATAATAAAGGCAGTATTCATGCTCTTTTCAAGACCAGTTTTTGTATTTTGTTTTCAGTTGACTGTCTCTGCAAGTCATCTTGGAGTTGTCTATACAATTAAAGATTAAAAAACAACAGATACATTTATTTTACTAATACATTTTATGTTTATATTGGCATGTGAATATAAACACTATACAGAACAATAAATTCAATTCAATTCAATTCAGTTAATTTATATAGCGCCAAATTCACAACACATGTCATCTCAAGGCACTTTACAGTTCAACCAGATCATACAGTCAAATTGATACAAAGTTTTCTATCTAAGGAAAACCAGTTGATTGCATCGACTCATTGACTCAAATACAATCCCTCACACTAAGCATGCTTGTAGCGACAGTGGAGAGGAAAAACTCCCTTTTAACAGGAAGAAACCTCCAGCAGAACTAGGCTCAGTGTATCTGCCGAGGCCGACTGGGGTTCAAGGAGACAGAAGCAGAGATACAAAAAGCAGCTGTAAAAGGCGGCCCAGTCCAGGAAACACACAGCCAGGCAGACAAGCTCCAAGGCAGCTCCCATGCCAGAGGATGAAGAGAGCACATCCACTCAGTCACGGCCAGAGAAACAGGACCACACTGGAAAACAGGCCGATCTCCAACATCTATAAACAAGGGTGTTGATGGAAGCAGCACAGCTGATGTTTCTTTCCAGGATGGAGTCACAGCCAAACAGGAACAGACGAGGCAAAGCTACTCTGAGGAAAAGCAGAGAGAGCAGAAGGTTAGAGATTGAACTAACAGATTCTGCAGAATAGGAGAACAGAGAGAGAATGAAGCAGAATGAATTATAAAAGTATTGTGGATTTTTTTCTTCTTCAGGAATATAAGTCCATATCATTTTGTGGTGCAGGACCACGTTACCTGCTCTTCCCCTTATTGCACAATAATCATACACTTTGGTCTACATTTCTTTCACTAAAAGAAATCATGCATTTGCCTTTGGCATTTACTTAATCAGTTACTTTAACACGGTTGTGCTATGTCCTACCCTGCTAACATGAAACAATTGTGTAAAAAGTAACTAAATATGATTAAGTAAATGCTGAGGCCTTTTTCTTCTCATGGAATCTCTAAGACTGCTCCTGCTTGGAGCTTTAATTTAGAAAGCATAGATGTGTATATTTATATATTTATCAGGACTTCAGGAAGATCTGCCTTACCTTTATAAAAAAAAAATTATCCTTCATTTTCCAATTTGTAACGTGTAAATTAACCCTAAACTGGTTAAGGCAGTGGATCGCTCACCCCTCAGTACAGACTAGTCCCTGCCTGGCCACCACTAAAACCCTTCTCTGGCTACACCATTTTTCTTTAAAACTTCAGTTCTGGTTCCTTTAACCAGTGCACCTACATGTTTTGCTTTGTCGTTCTTGCCACTTTTGCAGCAAACTGCTAACGCTACAAAAAGCCAATGTCAACAGATTCTCCAACCGAAGTGCCCACCTTGGTGTCCTGGTGTTGTGCTTCAGTCTCTTAGTCTTAGATTACTGACTGAACAGTACTCTGTGAAATGTTCCAAATTTCTGATATTGCTTTATAATGTAACCCTTAGAATAGATTTGTAGTATTAAATCTTATATTAAAAAGTGAATTTTATTAACTAAACTGCTGAATATCAACATTTGATAGCATTGGTTTCTATTTCGAAGTTGGAGTAAAGCATGCCACGCATTTTATATTTTTATAGGAAAAAACATTATTAGTTTTTTCAACAGTCATATACTAATTTGATTTCTGTGTGGTTTAAAATGTCGATTAAATGCTATTTATTTTCCTCTACCTGCCTGCATGCAGTACCCAATGCTACCATACAGGGGCGCTCCTGGGTCATCCCAGTCGGATGGGGAAAGCAGTGAGGGTTTGATAAACTAGCTGTCCAGGGTGTACCCCACCTCTGGAGATAGGCGCCAGCCCCCCCTGCGACCCTGCACGGATAAGCAGAGGTAAACAATGGATGGATGCTTTGATATATGTTGCTGAATGCTTGACCAACTAATTTATGCATCATAAAAGTCTTGGTGATTACAGCAGGTTCAGATTGGTTCCACCCTGAGAGTTTTTGTTTATATGTTTCATTTGTTTGCGTCAGATTAAAGGGATCACCACATATTATAGGACACGACAAAGCAATGGAAAGATGCAGTTGTTGCCGGTGTTGAGTTTATGTGTTTCTGTCAGCCCCTTCCTGCCTCCACTACGCTCTCAGACCGCTTCTGCACCGGAAAGTGCCAATTATTGTCTGCTCTCAGTTCTCTGAGCCCACTTATCAACACTCCATCAGAGGACCACATGGGTTTGCATAGACCCTTGTTTTCTTACAGACCACCAAGTTACCACCTACAAGAAGTCTCAACCAGGGCGAGGAGTTTATAAGAGCTGGAATATTAATAACTGAACTCAAAATTGGAAGAATACTGGCTCCTCTCCACAGGCTTAGATTACTGTTCAAACAAAGATCGTGCATTCTACAGAGCATCACTTTGTTTAATAAATTGGAATACTTATATGGGTTTCAATTTTGCAGACACAATGTTTTTTTTTAATTAGGTAAGTGTGATGTATTGACGATTTTTTCTCTTTGGCCCTCTACAAGGTAAAAAAAAAAAAAAAAAAAAAAAAAAAAAAAAAAAACAATGCACAAAAAAGACAAATTTTCTGCTTTATTTTTTGTCATCTATTTTATCAAAAAACATTTACACATATAAAAATTTTGCACAACATGAGATTCTGTTTTCAAACGATGGACGTACAATTAGCAAAGGGAAATAGTCAATCAAGGAGTAAAATGCGCTTAAAAATAACATTTAAAAAATAGATACAGGCTTTTAAGCTGTATTAAACTGGAATGGGAAAAACAAGTATTTCTCTTTGGGGGGAAATGAATGGAAATTGACAAATAAAATATTTTGGGAAGATTTTTTATTTTATTTTATCTTTTTTTTTTTGTGAGAGCATGTAACCCTGAGAGAATCAGCTTAATTGACACCAATGTGCATCAAAATTTAGCTGGTCTTTAACTTGTTCCTTAAAACGCATTATCCCTTTCTTTATTATGATTAAAAAAAACAAACAAACAAATAATACATATGGCTACTTTCCTACAAACTGCTAAAACATTTATCCAACAATTGTCCTGCAGCCGCTGAACAGTTTGGTCTTGTTTATATAAGCGGCGGCTTGCTGACCATTTTGGTAACGCGCACATAAATTATAGACAGTTTTAGATTTCTAGGTAGCTATTAAAAAAAACCCTGTATAATTTGGTTTTTTACCCTGTAAAAAATAAAAACCCTGTTTTCTCCAAAGGACTCAACATCTCTTGTATCTGGGGTGGGGAGTAATTGTTGACAGGCCGTCTGAAACCGCTCAGGTTGCCATCATACATTCATTGATTATTCATATGGTGCAGCTTCTTTAAAATAATAATATTATGAATAATAAGAAAGATCAAGATTTCTTGGTGTTAATGGATGTTTTTTAGCGGCTCAAATGTTTTCGGACTGAACAGCCTCTTTTCAGACTGTTATCGCCGTCTTCACGGTGCTGCTGTCGCTGTTTTTGTTGCTGTCCATCGCTTTCTTGCTTTTGCTCCTTCCTTTGGTGTTCGGCAGCTTGTTGTCTTTCTTCCAGCGCATGCGTCGGTTTTGGAACCACACCTTCACCTGCCGCTCCGACAGACAGAGCGCGTGGGCCACCTCGACCCGGCGGCGGCGCGTGAGGTAGCGACTGAAGTGGAACTCCTTCTCGAGCTCCAGGACCTGCTGGCGCGTGTAGGCCGTGCGCAGCCGCTTTGGTTCCGGGCCGACGTGATTTGGATTGACTGCGAGAAATATATCAAAATATAAAATATCAATATAAAAGTTCAATAAATATATTTATATTTTATTTTGCTGAGAATAAATATTTCGTCGTCAATATAAATAAATATTTTAAAGAATATTCTTAAAACACATATTAAATTACACAAATTTGTTTAAATATAATTTAAAAAATAAAACAAATGTATAATAATTATAAACTGGCTAATATTATTATAACAACAATTTCTGTTATTATAAAAAGTTGTAGTAAAAGCCAATGTGGTTGGTGTTAAACAATTGTTACAGCACGTTTTGAATTTAACTAAAAATACAGAAACACATAAACAAATCAATTATAACTTAAAATGCTGTTAACACTATATAAATAATCAAAATAAATGTTCAATAAAATTTTTTTAAATCAATAGGCTAAATATACTTAATTCCACGCGATTATTACCGACATTACTATTGCTATTTTTATATTAATATAGGCCTATATCAAATCCGAATATGAATAAAATACCTAAATAAATATGCCAGCACGGCCTCATTCATCACCATTACTCTAAATCAAAGTAAATCAGCGTATCTAAGCCTTATATAAACATCACAGCAGTTATCTTTTTACTCTATGTGCTTAGTGCTCATTTGTGGTCGACCGGGAACAGATCCAAGAAGGATTTTCTGTTGTTGTTGTTGTCTGTGTACTTTTAACTCGCAGGTTTTTTGTTTGTCCGCATCGCTGCACATTAATTTCCATGCACACCGCCTAACAACACACACACACACACACACACACACACACACGGTTCGCCTATACTCGCTGCAGCAGGGTCGTAAAACTTTATAGGGGCTGTAATTCTCGCCTCCTCTCGCTGAGGTCGTAAATTATTCGACAGAGAAAAAGAAGATGCTCACAAATGGAAAGAAAGAAAGAAAGAAAGAAAGAAAGAAAGAAAGAAAGAAAGAAAGAAAGAAAGAAAGAAAGAAAGAAAGAAAGAAAGAAAGAAAGAAAGATTTGATGATGGATCTCACCATGCGCGACGTGTACTTTCTTCATCCAGGGGTAGACCACAATGGGCGGCTTGTCTTTACCCAGACAGGCCGCTTTCCTCTGCACCTGAGCGGGCTTGGCGCAGGTCATCCAGGCCTGGTGGCACTGCAGCTCGCCTGCAGGGAACCTCTCCTTCTCGGGCCCATCTGCCTCTCTGTACACCGGATAGGTGGTAGTGTGGTGCTGCGGCCGCTCCTCTGCATCCTCCCGGTGATGGCCCTGCACAGACAGTTGGTAGCCGGTTTGTTGTGATGCGTATGCAGGCGGAGGGGGCTGCATTGGCTGATAGCCCCCCGCATAACTGCCACTGTCCTGGGGGTTGTTGTAATACCCCCCTTGGTCACTAAAATTACTGTAATCTTCTTCACAAGGCGGGAACTGCGGCTCCGCGTATTTACAGCTCACCACGAAGGACTCCATGATTGATTTATAGCGAAGCTAGTAGGAGAATACTAATTTTTCTTTCTATCCCCTCTCTCTGTCTCTTTTTCCCCCTCTGGCATCGAGCCATCCTGCGGCTGTCAAATAGACAGACGGCCGCGCGGGTCACGTGGTCAATCAGCCAGCCAATGAGAGGCGGCACGCTGGGATGTTTATGTCAGACGTAATGGGATAATTTGGGGAGAAAAAAATGTTCATCAGGGAGCTAATGAAGATTTGCAGCTTAGGAAAATTACCACGATTTGACGGCAGTGGACCCTGAAAAATCTCAGGACATACCTATAGTAAACAACAACAACAATCTATCTATCTATCTATCTATCTATCTATCTATCTATCTATCTATCTATCTATCTATCTATCTATCTATCTATCTATCTATCTATCTATCTATCTATCTATCTATCTATCTATCTATCTATCTATCTATCTATCTATCTATCTATCTATCTATCTATCTATCTATCTATCTATCTATGTGCTCCTCCCACCTTTCGGACTGTAGATTTATGACTTCTTCACCCCACAGATGGCCTGGGCTGAAAAAAAAATTTATCTCGCCCATATTGAGGGGCGGCGGGGGCCATATTTGGCCTTGTGGAGAGTCAAAAGGGCGGACAACAAAAAAACCTGGCCGGTCAGAAAGGTCCCAAAAAATAAAAGAAATAAAGGGGATAAAAGGTTCCCAGACAGTGACTAGTAGTTGGCTTTTTGTTAGGGCCGGGGTCAGGCCGAGGTGTTTTAGGGGGAGGGAAGGAGGGGAAGGATGCATTGGTGTGCCTTAAAAAAAATGATGCAGAGGCAGAGAAAAATGAAACCTTTTTTTTTTTTTTAAAGAAAGAAAAGAAAAAGACAAACGTTAATTATGCTTGATGAAAACTAATGGAAAATATATGTTAAATCTGAGCCCTCACACGAAGAGAAGAACAATAAGGATGAAAGCATGATCAAGATCCGATAAATCCTGTAAAAAGCAGTTTTCACATTTAAGAATGGTGTATAAATAAAGTTTTTATTCCCTGTAGTAACAGGGAGGTCTTGTCGGATAGCAGGTCTGAAGTTGCAGCTAATAACATTTTTACTTCTATCTGTTAATAAAGGGAAGGGGGAGAACTTGGTTGGAGGAAGGACCCTGATGAGGATGAAACAGATGTGAAGGTTGAACTAATACCTATATGAAGGTTATCTCATCTAATGAGTCATTAGCCTAAATGGGGTTATAATGAGCCCCTGATCAGATAAAAATCTGCTTTGGCACATTTTTGTCTGCTTGAACAAATCTGTTTCATATTTGGTTTGACATTAAAAAGCCATCTAAACCCTCGATATAAAATAGTTCATACATTCTAAAAACTTTTGGTGATTCTTGAAAACTATGCTATTTCTTTGGTGCATTTTTCTTTTCTGCAGTTTTCAGAACAAAAAATGTTAAATAGAGCTAGAAACATGTCTCCTATGGAGCAAGAGATACTAATTGGCTGTAGACAATGAACGAATTCTGCATTTAAAATGCTGCCACAGGCTATGTAGGGAATATAGCAACTCAATAAGGTGGTCCACGGAGACCCACATGAAAAAAATCATTTTCCGTTGCAAACCCCCATAAAAAGAACAACGTCTACATCATTCCTGAGCACACCCCTTCACCCAGGGAAGCTCATCGGTTGATGGGGAGATAGATGGAGATAAATGAAAACAATCCTGGAAGAAAAAACTATTAGAGGCTCCAAAAGACTAGAGGCAAGTTAGAGTTACAGCATACAAACTGAACAAAAAGCGAATATGTGACAATGCAATAGATATTTTTTTGCCAAAAAAGCCCAGTTATACCTATATTTCTTAAACATTACCTATCAAATTATACTGACAGAATGTGACAACATAATCAAAAGTTAAAGCGGTGTGAGTGCATCACGCCAAAACACTGTATGTTTTAGTGAGCACACAAATAAATCATTGGGTTTGCACAACCCGACTCATGTGTTTTTAATGAAGACCTAACTAAGTGGGCCAAAATGCCAGGAAAATTCGATCTAGTGGCATAATCCCATTTTTCTCACTGAACAAATCATGTAGCTCAACTTGTGTAAAGAGACATGACAGCTTAATGTCCGTGTCACCTTACTGAAGCCTAACCCAACACCAAAGCAGATTTATGTCACCTCGAAGATTACCGAGTTTCAGCAGATGAAAGAAATCTGAGGAAGGATGAGCTCCTTCGGCAGCAGCAGAACGGCAAACGGTCGACCCTTTTTCCTCCCCTGTCAGGGATTTTGATTGATGGCAAGTCATCGCCCATAGACTCCCCTAGAACCCAATCTGTGACCAAGGCAGCTCCACACACATTCGGTTCTACAGGGTATATATAGGCGAAGGATCTCTTCATGGTTGGCTGCTAATGGCTCCTTGGATTGTTCCTCGTCAAGAGATTTAGACCCATTTGATCTGATTCAGCGGTTTTATTGACCTGGAGGAAGACATATCGGCAGGATGTGGCCCTGAAAACATTAAAACTACCAACCTATCCTTTCATACAATCCTGCAGTTCAATAGCTTTGGGTGTTTTAATAGAAACCAACATTGGAATTCTTTGACGTCAATACCTCATTAATAGGACATACAGAATAAATTATGATAGATGTGTGTAATAACTGAAAACCAGATAGAACATTAAAGATGTCAGCAGCTCAGTTGAATAGGCATTTACAGAGGGGAAAAAAAAGAAAGACAGAAGAAGTTGTCTACTGTTCACTAATATGCCTATAGGAGTGGACTTTGGCCAACCAGATGTTAAAGCATTCAAGACTCAACGTCACTTGCCTCTTTAGGAGACACCATATCGTTGATGTTTTTTATAGGCTTAAAACAATGAAAGTTACATTTTGGTTGTTCATGATCCGTGTTACTCATACTTAGATTTTGATCTATTGAGAAGTTCTGCTTTGTAGACGTTGAGTACCTTGCCATGCAAAGGCATTTGGTCCTTACATAATTCTCCATTGTTTTGTTTCACAGCTGTTCCTAAAATGAGTCGATTGTGACCTAAGTAAATAAAAAAATGTTTTTAATTTTGAGTTTAACTGCAAAGGGAAAAAGCTTCCCAACAACATGGCTTCAAGTTGAGGCCACTGGAGGATGGTAAAGAGTAAACAAACGGTTTTACGGTCGGAGTAAAGCATCTTGATACGATTTCAGTCTAAGCTTCGACTCTTGGTAGGTTACGCAACGCAATTGTGCTTGAGCTTATTGTCACAATCTAATAACTGTACAGTTTTCTCCAGAACTTTCTATGTGAGAGCAAAATTCATACAGTTCCTTATAGAAAAACATCCCTAGATCCCCCATCACACCACCACCATGTGTTGATGTTTGTTCAATGTCCTGTTGTTCCAACATCCTCCAGAGCAATGCCACTTTTGTTTCATAAATCAACAATTTCTTTCCTACCTCCTAAAAATTGTTGGGCATCCTCAAGAGGCTTTCAACTCAAATGAGATGTATTATTTTGGGTTATTTCTTGGGGTATTCACCTTGGTACTCCCCTGCCCATGCTGTTCTTGACCAGTTTCCTCTTCAATGCTGATCCAAGATCACCAACATAATATGAGGTGATTGGGGCCTGCATTGCTTAGGCTGTAGTTCTTGGTTACTTTGTGACCTTCTTGAGTTGTTGTTGCTCTCTTGGAGTAATTTTTGTAGGGCTGCCTCTCCAGAGAAGGTTCTAGAGATACTTTATGGTATGGATATATTTTGTTATGCAGATATCTTAGCCTACTTTATGTTGGCAGACAGGTTCTGTTGAGTGATGTCCCGATTCTACTCAATCAAGGTGGTAGACCAAATTATTGTGGGTCGTTACAGTTTATCCCTTTATAGGACAAGTTACTGTTTTTGGTCAATTTTATTTGACCAATTAGATGAGCGCTTGAATGATATATTACCTACTGTAAATTAAGTTGAAATAAAAAGGTTAACAAGTCAAGAAAAATGGGGTAAAAAGCTAAATGAAAAGTTAAAAAGTAAAGTTAAAAAGTTAATAAGCCATGTTAACAATTATATTTAGGTTTATAAACTACAAAATGTAAGTGGCAGTATCAGCATTAATGCCTCTAAGGTTATGCTGTACCAAATAAAATGTGTTTCTTTCACTTTCAGTGTTTTTTGAATTTCTTATAGATGCACTTTTGTTATTTTTCTTAATATATTCAGGCAAGTTGGCATTTCTTGATATTACATCCATCCATTTTTTTTCTGACACGAAAAAAAAAAAGTAATGTTGTTACATTGACATTGAAATTAATTTTTGCCATCAAAATATCCATATTTTTTGAATGTTACAAAGGTCTTGTAACATAAGGTCTTGTCCTGGATTCAAATAACATTACTGGCTTGAAATTGTGATTTCACTGAGTGCCCTATAAAGGGTTAAATCTATTTCAGAGGGTAGCTATATTTTAATACAGGCCAAGGTCTATATATACAGACTTTTTTCCCCTTTATACATGCATTATTACAAAAAAAACCTACATTTGTAATCAGGTTATAATTGTCTAATATTCTTTTTCGATGATCATAACAAATAAAGTGTGCCAGAAAAGAAAGACGCTTTACTTTATGGAACGGAGACTCTCTTAGTTAAAGTAACGCAGTCAGACCCAGAGGGGAGGCTGGTCATCGCCAGAGTTGCTGGTAAACAAGTGAACAGGCTGCTGGTGGTCTTTTCTAAGCTTGGACATGAAGGGGGATCTCAGTTCCCCGAAAGGATTTCAGCCCTTAGGGGCGGAACCCAACTTGGCATTCATGATGGTTCCCAGCTTCCATAAATGTTTACGGCTCCACATCTGCCATCAGCTTAAAGTTCTGCAAAAGTTTTAATCAGGGCTGTTTAAATCGAACTCTACAAGAGCAGGCTTACTATTGGTGTTGTCGGGCAGACTGTTTTAGCTTAAAAAGCCTATCCATAAAACAATCAATTACAAGGCAAAAGTAAAACACATGTAAATAATCAGCAATGTGTTGAATTTGAATCAATTTATTGCTCCATTCACACAGTGTGCTATCATTACTCACATGCAGATCAGGGTTATTATGAATCTTATGGACAGTTGCATAATTGTCCATGTGTATGACAGGTTTTGGTCAGGATGCCTTTGGAGGTTTATGTTTCCATTTCTTGCCTTGAGCAATGTTCTGTTCTCTCGTAGACATTTATTCTGTAGCTGTTTACATGTCAAACTAAGTTCCCATGTCTGCTTGAATAAGCAGTTGGTGAAAACTTTATCAGAACCATTTGTTGGGCCAGAGAAGAAAAAAAGGGGGTGGTGTTGCTCTGAGCGAAACTTTGAGTGAAGCTTGATTACTTTTATATTACGCAGAAGGAAAGTTGAAAACAATAGCTACACTTATCCTAAAAAAAATCCAATTGGTCCAAACACGGGACATCCAAAGACATCTTTTTTATATCCCAGCTAAGGTTGGACAGTAATCAAATTTTTTATTAACTGCAAACCACCTGTTTTTTACCAGTTGTCCAATTTACATATGCTAAAATATTAGCTCGGTTTACCGTTCGGATCAATACCATCCAACCACCGTTGCCCTACAATTAAAATATTAAAATATATTTCATTGCTTTTGAAACATTAGTTCACAAACACATAAAAATTGCTGTTATCTGTTTCTTCTGTACGACGGAAGTAATTTATTAGTTAAATACTCAAATTCTGTGTTACAACTGGGACAAATGTCGTTGGGCTAGAGAAGAATCTAGAAGCGTCATTCTTCTTTTCAGACCGCCATTTTGAA